TAGGGATGCATAAACAAAGTGATCTATTATTATTATTATTATTATTATTATATTTATAGAGCGCCGTCAAATTCCACAGCGCTTCACAATGGGTGGACGAACAGACATGTAGTTGTAACCAGACAAGTTGGACACACAGGAACAGAGGGGTTGAGGGCCCTGCTCAATGAGCTTACATGCTAGAGGGAGTGGGGTAAAATGACACAAAAAGGTAAGGATAGTATAAGACTAATGACAGTTGCAGAAGAGGAATCAGTCAGGAGCTATTAACAGTTTAATGGATACGCTTTTATAAGGAAGTGGGTTTTTAAAGATTTTTTGAAGGAGTGGAGACTGAGTGAGCATCTAACGGAGGAGGGAAGCGAGTTCCACAGGAACGGTGCAGCCCTCGAGAAATCTTGAAGGCGAGCATCAGAGGTGGGAGTACGGACAGAAGATAGACGTACGTCTTCAGCAGATCGTAAGGGCCTAGACGGGACATACTTGTGTATAAGGGAGGATAGATAGGTGGGAGCAGCATTATGTAGAGATTTGAAAGCAAGAACCAGAATTTTAAATTGAGCTCTATATTTTATAGGAAGCCAATGTAGGGATTGACAGAAGGGTGAGGCATGGGAGGTGCGTGCGGACAGGAAGATGAGTCTCGCCGCCGCATTCATTATGGACTGTAACGGCGCTAGCTGGGAGCACGTAAGACCACTGAGAAGCGGATTACAGTAGTCAAGGCGAGAAAGGACAGTGGAATGGACCAACACCTTAGTCGCATCTGGCGTTAAGTAGGGGCGGATGCCCGCAATGTTTTTTAGATGGAAATGACAGGATTTGGCAATAGATTGAACATGAGGCTTGAAGGAGAGGTCGGAGTCAAAGAGAACACCTAGGCAGCGAGCCTGCGTGGTGGAGCTGATGGTAGCACCGTTGACTTGGAGGGAGACAGACACAGGAGTAACAACACTTGAGGGAGGAAAGACCAGAATTTCAGTTTTGGTCAAGTTTAGTTTAACGAAGTGGGCAGCCATCCAGTTAGAAACAGCAGAGAGGCAGTCAGAGACACTAGTCAAGAGGGACGGGGAGAGATCAGGAGAGGACAGGTAGATTTGCGTGTCATCTGCTTAGAAATGATATTGGAAGCCAAAGGAGCTGATGAGTTTACCAAGGGAGGCAGCATTGATAGAGAACAGTAGGGGACCAAGGACAGAACCTTGGGGGACACCAACAGAGAGGAGTTGGGGAGAAGAAACAGAGCCAGAGAAAGAAACACTGAAAGAGCGCTGATCTAACTCCTAAATGGCAGGGTGTTGAGCAGTGAGACTACAGGGGTATAATCTATACACTAAAAGTAGTTCAAAAAGCTAAGGTTGATTTGATGTCTATTGAATCCCTTTACATTATCCTGTCTTTATTGTAATTAAGGTGCTCACACCAGGGAAGGAGGCCACTGGCCCATCTTTACTATTATATGAAACACACATTATCTTAGTCTATTGAAAAAAAATAATAAGACCTTGTCTTACAGTACTATGGAAATAAGGGAAAGGTCAGGTCCTTATCCTCCCAAAGCATTGTTTGACTATGTAACGAGAAGTAAGGCAGTATTTACTAAGACCTACTCTAAAAGTGGCACTTCATGTACTCACAAAGGTTAGATAACAGAGTGTGATCTGTAAGCAGGAAATGCCACGTGGTAACTAACAATACTGAGACTCATATCAGCAGATACAGTCAATTCATTTGAAAAAAAGGAAAAACAAAAAAACAAAGTGCGTACTTATTTTAAGTTTGTGCATATACATTCATTGACTAAAAATTTAAAATGTTAACCTCTCTCAGTGCTTCCTTTGTGAGTTTTTTTGCTAATCTATTCCTAAGTCTTGAACACCATTAAACTGCATTATTAGAGCTCACCATGGAGCCCTTTTCCATTGTAATTTTCAATGTACTTTTCCTTTAAATATTGTTCTAGATCCGTAAATGTTTAATAATGCATGCCATTAATGTGGTGCATGCTATTAAGGTAATAGAATAACCATATTTACTGTCTGGCACGGTAATGCATTCCCTGCTTGGCTCAACGTCAAGTAAAAGCAAAGATCGTGTCTGAGGAAAGGAGACTTAAACATACATCTGGTATTTCATCTGCCGAGGTCAACACCTCCAAAACATCTGGAGTAGCAGAGGGCGGCTAGCTTGAGTTGTGTCCCAATGTAGAGCCAGCATTCTCACCTTCTAATCATCCTGTTAGTGTGTGTAGAAGTATATATAGTTATGGGGAAAAGAAAGTACACCCTCTTTGAATTCTACGGCTTTACATAACATGATGTGATAGCAATCATCTGTTCCTTGTCAGGTCTTAAAAGGAAAAAATTAAAAACAACAACAATAAACCCAAAAAGCTATAAGGCTATGTCTGAAAAATTAAATACATGTTGTGATTCAATAGCTTATAGAACCACCTTTAGCAGCAATAACTTGAAGTAATTCTCTTAAGGTCCCCCCACAGTATTTCAGTCAGGATGAGGTCTGGACTTTGACTGGGCCATTGCAACTCTTTGATTCCTTTTTTTACAGCCATTCTGCTGTAGATTTGCTGGTGTGGTTGGGATCAGGGTCGGCCTTAGGGGTTTGCGAGCCGTGGGGCCGCACAGGGCGCCATGGCAGCAAGGGGCACCATGCGGCCGCCACAGCTCACACATGGTCTCCACCCGGGACTATGAAAGGAGATAACATAGCAGCAGGTGGGTGGGCTTATCATGCAGCGGAGGTAGGACTTGTCGTGCGGCAGGACAGGGCTAAACCAGCAGCAGGGCAAAGCTAAAAGTGCCCATCACCAGATGCCTGGAAACTGAGGCCCATAATGGAAAGAGGTGTGTGTGACTGTCTTCCTGTGTGTGACAGTCTGCCTATGTGTGTCTGTCACTGTGTGTGACTACAACTGTGTGTGACTGTAGCTGTGTTTGTGATTGTTACTGTGTGTGACGGTCTGCCTGTAACTCAGTGTATGTGACTGCCTGTACCTATGTGTGACTGTTTACCTGTAACTTGCTGTGTGTGACTACTTATAACTGTCTATGTGACTGCCTGCCTGTAACTGAGTGTGTGTGAGACTGCTTGTTTCTGTGTGTGTGACTGTAACTGTGTGTGTGACTGTCTGCCTGTAACTAAGTGTGTGTAACTAACCAGGAGAAAGTGTTAAAGCTGATTAAAATGATTAAAATTGGTACCTTTTATATAAAAAGTAGGTCCTTTAAATGTAAAAGAATCACAGTAGCTGAATAAAACATCACACTCACACTTTTAACAAACAAATATTAGAAAGGTACATTTCTCAGTATGTACCATTGGGTAATAAATATAAAAGAAACAAATTAAAACCAATGTGGCTTAGTAGAGAAGTAAAACAAGAGATTAAAAATAAGAAAAGGGCATTTAAAGCATTTAAATCAGACAAATCAGATGCATCTTATAAAAGATATAAGGAAGCCAATAATGCGTGCAAAAAGGCGATTAGATTTACTAAACTTCAAAATGAAAAAAATGATAGCTATAGAGAGCAAAACCAACCCCAAAGCATTTTTTAAGTACATAAATTCTAAAAAAACAAAAAATGAAAGTGTAGGTACACTAAAAACTGAAACGGGGGTGTTAGTTAATGAAGACCAGGAAAAGGCAGAAACTTTAAATAACTATTTCTCCTCCGTATATATTAAGGAAGACCCCATAGCAATAGATGTGCAAATGAATGCTACTAAAAACTTGCAGAATAATTGTAATTGGTTAACTCAAGACAAGGTGCTGCAGCAACTAAAGAAAGTTAATATAAACAAAGCTCCAGGGCCTGACGGTATCCATCCACGAGTACTTAAGGAACTAAGTGTATAAATAAGTGAACCTCTGTTTTTAATCTTTCAAAATTATTTTCTTTCAGGAAGTGTTCCGGAGGATTGGAGGAAGGCAGATGTGGTTCCTATATTCAAAAAGGGTTCAAAATCCTTGCCTGGAAATTATAGACCTGTGAGCTTAACTTCTGTGGCTGGGAAAATATTTGAAAGGTTATTAAGGGATAATATTCAAGAATTCCGTGAGAAGAACAGGGTTATCAGCAAAAATCAGCATGGTTTTATGAAGCACAGGTCATGTCAAACTAACTTGATTGCGTTCTACGAAGAAGTAAGTAGAAGTATAGATCAGGGTGTTGCAGTGGGTGTGATCTATTTGGATTTTGCCATGGCATTTGATACAGTTCCACACAATAGATTAGTGTTCAAACTCAAGGAAATCGGTCTAGATGAAAACGCTTGTTCTTGGGTAGAACATTGGCTTAAAAACAGAGTACAAAGAGTTGTCGTTAATGGTAAATTTTCAAGCTGGACAGAGGTGGCAAGTGGTGTCCCTCAGGGGTCTGTTCTAGGACCCCTTCTATTTAACATGTTTATAAATGATCTTGAAAAAATCATTGAAAGTCATGTTTCAGTGTTTGCAGATGACACAAAACTCTGTAAAATAATACAATGTGAGCAAGATATTACTTTGCTGCAGAGGGACTTAGATAGACTGGGGGACTGGGCACTCAAATGGCAGATGAAATGTAATGTTAAAAAATGCAAAGTTATGCACTTCGGCGTAAAGAATACTCAAGCAACGTATACCTTTAGTGGAAGCGAATTAGGGATAACAACACGCGAAAAGGACTTGGGAATTGTTATAGACAACAAACTATGCAACAATGTGCAATGTCAATCAGCAGTGGCCAAGGCCAGTAAGGTATTGCCATGCATGAAAAAGGGACTTCATTCTCGAGACGAGAATATAATTGTGCCTCTTTATAAATCACTGGTAAGACATATTGAATATGCTGTGCAATTTTGGGCACCTGTTCTAAATAAGGATATTATGACACTAGAAAAAATGCAGAGGCGGGCTAAATTAATAAAAGGAATGGAACATATCAGCTATGAAGAAATTAACAAATTTAAACCTATTTAGTTTAGAGAAACATAGAGAGGGGATATGATAACATTATACAAATATATTTGGGGCCAATACAAACCATTATGTGGAAATTTATTCACAAACCAGACTTTACATAGGACACAAGGTCATGCGTTTAGACTTGAAGAAAGAAGATTTCATCTAAGGCAAAGGAAAGGTTTGTTTACTGTAAGAACAATAAGGATGTGAAATTCTCTGCCTGAAGAAGTGGTTTTATCAGAGTCCATACAGATGTTCAAACAGCTACTAGATGCATACTTGCAAAAACAGAATATTCAAGGATATAATCTTTCAATGTAGGGTAATAACTGCTTGATCCAAGGATAAATCTGACTGCCATTCTGGGGTCAAGAAGGAATTTTCTTCCTAGCTTGTTGCAAAATTGGAAGTGCTTCATACTGGTTTTTTTTGCCTTCTTTTGGATCAACAGCAAAAAACAAATGTGAGGAAGGCTGAACTTGATTGACGCAAGTCTCTTTTCAGCTCTGTAACTATGTAACTATTTAACTTTACACAGCCCTTAAAGAATGGCTCTGAACTGTATCGGCATTTCATCAACCTTTGGGATAACTGGAAATAGTGGTGTAATCTTTACTGGAACGGTGTAGTATCCAGAAGAACCAGGAATCAGAAGGTGAGATAATGAAAAACACTTTTATTTCTTTTAGTGTCTAAAATGTAAGCATAATGCGTATCGACCTAGTACAGGTCTTCCTCGGGTGAAATCTAAAATAACAGTGATTCAAGGGCTATTTTATACCCAAAAACAAACACACATAATTACATACACATGAAATAATTACTTCTAATTTCCAAATATGGTCCGAACCGCATGTATATCGCCACCACGAAGATGGCGACATCCATTTTCAGCCATAAAGTAAGTTCCGGTTGCCACCCCCAAGATGGCCACACGTCGGACTCAAAGACTCTGCTCAAAATGATTGAATGTTCTCCATATTAGTCAACAATGCAATAGGCTATCTGGAATATCCTCCAGTTCTGCTTGCCACTCCTCTCAATATGCTGTGACGTGCGCATCTATTACCATGTACGTCCGGCACAAAAAACTACAAACATGGCGGATGGTTATGTTCACAAAGATGTCACTTCCTCCAGATGTACGTCCAGATAGCAGAATGAGTATATATGTCCATAATAAAGGAAGGAATAAATAAGTATAATAGTTGAGGAGAAAATAAAGGAAACAGTACAAAATGGAATTAATTTCAAAATCTTTATTCAGACCTTTTGTAAGGTCTGAAGTTCAAAAATCCATTTAACTTCTTGTCTACTGAGTTTCTCAGCAATATTAGCACCCCTCCAATATATATTCACATTTTCTATAGCTTGGAACCCTAAATCTTTTGGGTCTGACCTATGTTTTTCCAGGAAGTGTTTTGACACACTATGATTAATAAAACCATTTTTAACATTTCTTATATGTTCACTAATTCTAACACTTCTAGAAGTTTTACCTACATACTGGATTCCAGCCACACCTACTGAATATATACTGGAGGGGTGGTAATATTGCTGAGAAACTCAGTAGACAAGAAGGTAAATTGATTTTTGAACTTTAGACCTTACAAAAGGTCTCAATATAGATTTTGAAATTAATTCCATTTTGTAAAAATATATAATTTTAATATATATTTTTTATTTACATTTTTTTGTATATTCGTTGTATATGTTTTAATATACATCTATATTTACTATATCCATATGTTTTTAAAGCAATTTTCCCACCTGTCCTAAGTTTTTAGCATCTTTTAACCTTTTTTATTGATTGTACTGTATTTTACTATTGTGATGTTGTTATTGCACAAATTCCTATTATAATAACATATGAGTTAACATTTTTTAAGTTAATAATACTGTTTCCTTTATTTTCTCCCCAACTATTATACTTATTTATTCCTTCTGCCCGTACCTAATATTGTGGAAAACCTTCTTATTTTCATCCAACGCATAGGACTAGAGACATCTATAGTGTTTGTTTTATATCAGTTTTATACTATTTTATTTTGTACCAGTGTGTTTTTTTAACTTTTTGTCCATATTGTTCATGCACTATTATCTCCTCCAAGAACCCCAGCAAGGTCCTGGTTCCAGAGAGTGATTTTGATGTGCCTGATTTGGATGTTTTTATCCTGTGAGTGCAATCTAATAAAGCTGTGTACTTTTATTTGGGAATATTACACTATGTATTTGTCTCTTCTTCTTCCTTTTATGTTTTGATCACAAGGAAAAATAAAATAAGAAGGTTTTCCACGATTAAGTATTTTTTACGTGCCAGCTATCAAATTCACCTTTGTGAACACTCTTGGATTGTTCCTTTAAACTATGTATTTTAAAGAACTGAGAACCACACTGCATAATGTGCACAAAAATTATTTGGAGAATTCTCTCATTCTTCTACAGTTTCAGCTTGACCATTTTAGAACTATGCAACTTGGTTTTCAATTACCCACAATTTACTGTTTAGTAAATAACAAAAAAAAGTATTTATTGGTTATTGGTTGCAACGTCAAGAGTAATGTGACCACACACAACAAATGTTTTTTTTCTCCATCTATGCCTGTATTTCCCATTATACTTTCTATCTATCTGTTGCAATATATACTAATAGTAGTCTTTTCATGCACAGCAGATTATTGCCTGATCGGAAAGTGCAGGTCTCACGTCCACGTGTGCATGATGATACAATACGTATGCTCAAAGCAGCATTAATATGCCAGTGAATATTGTATATTCTAACTAGTGAGTGAATCCAGCTGGCAGTAATCTCTCTATAAGGCTTCATTTATAACGTTAGCCAATAAGGGTAGCCGCAATCTGGTAGCTGTTTTTTTTTTCTGCAAGTTGTTTTTTGAATGAAATCTGTAGCCAGACACAAGCAATTTGAGGGTTAATGCCATGCCCCACTTCGTACACATCCATTTGCAGAAGTGCAGGGATTTTAAGTGCTAATTATTATTCACTGGAGATGTTCCGTCACACTCAGCTTTTACATCTGACGTCCAGATGCCGTGAAAATGCCATCCGCTGGATTTTGTTTATTTTGCAAGGGTTATACCATACTGAAGAGAAAACTGTCCATCAAGCTCGACGCATGCAAGTCCAATGCCTGTGCGGCCACATTTACTGTCTTGGTTATTTACAAAGTGAATTCAAAATAAATTAGAAATTGTAGGCCAAAAATACTGAAATAAAAACATATTTGAAAACTATTGTAATTTGATATTTTGGCCAACAATTTGAAACTCAACTTGAATTTCGTAGAATACACATTTAGTGAAAACCCTGAATGCATTTGTGACATCATTTGTTTTTACTTGAATAACATTAGATTTTCCAGATATCAGCGCAAACACCCCAGAGATGAGCGTATATACCTCTACACCTGTTAAATCCATAGGCAGTGCTCTGAAAGGCATGTTAATGCCAAATAATTTAAGGAATGTTCCATAAGGATTTTTGCAGACCAGTAGCACATGAGTTGGAGGTTCGTTGATGACCTTGAAAATAATGATGCCACGTTCATATTGAGCAGAGGGGCACACACAAGATGTAGTGAGAATATTGTTTCATAGGAGCTATGTAAAAAGAAGCTTTAATAATAGAGATAGTTCAGAAATCAAGGTATATGAACTAAACATGTAGAAAGTTGAAGGATGCTCAATGTTTACAGTCACATCTGTATCCCTGTGTTCTGCATGCAGAGACAGCTCTAGACTTTGTGAGGCCTTAGGCAAAGCTTAAATATGAGACATCATAATCCCCTTATCCCATCCCCCAGCTACATTGTCCTTTCCCTTAGACCCAATATGTCATATTCTCCCAGTCATATAACCCCTGAATGATATCTTGTGAATGTGGAAGTATTTCTGTGGTGTCAGTATGTGAACATAAGAATGTATCAGAATGTATGTCAGTATGTGAACATGTCATTGTATTTCGGTGGATCATCAATGTGCAAATGTGTGAGTGTATTTCCATGGATTATCAGTATGCAAGTATAGATGTGTATTTCTTTAAAGTGTGCAAATGTAGAGGTGTTTTTTTGTGAAGTATATTACTATGGAGTGTCAGGCTGTAAATGTGGGTGGTTTTATATAAAGTATCAGTGTGTAAGAATGTGGCTGGTTTTACGTAGAGTCAGGGTCCCCATCAGAAATTTTGGGGCCCCTTACACAGCTCAAGGTCTGGGCCCTTGGGTGCCCGCCTCCAAGCCCGCCAACAGGACAGCCTCCAAATCCCGCCCACAGGAATACACACACAGACACAAACGGACACAGACACACACACAGAAAGATACACACATACTAACAGATACAAATACTGAAACAGACATACACACATACAGGCATACTGGCACACACATACAGACACACACACATGCATAAGGAGATATAGATACACACACACACACTGACATACATACATGTCAGATACAAATACTGAAAAAGACATACACACAATCAGGCATACTGGCACACACATACAGACACACACACATGCATAAGGAGATACAGATACGCACACACACACTGACATACATACATATCTCACATACTGACACACACATACACATATGCATGCAGACATACATACTGATATATACATACATACTGGCATACACACATACTGAAACACACACAGACATACATACATACACACACACACACACATACGTACATACTGACAGACACATACTGGCATACATATATACATACAGGCATACATACATACATTTAACTTTTCAGCCACCCTCCTCTTCCTTACCTTGCATTGCAGGAGGGTGGCTGGGGATGATGGACGTCGGTTGCATCCTCCTTCCCGCGCGGAGTAAGCTGGGAGGAAGTGACCGCCCATCACTTCCTCCCAGCAGCACTTGCGTTACGGCTGCATTTTTTTAAAAGGGTCCTGGTCGTGCTATAACAGCGCTGACTGGGCCCCTGAAGATAATAGGACCAATTGGGTGGCCCCAAATGCTTGGGCCACCTGATGGGCCCCATTAGCGTGTGGGCCCCAGTGCAAATGCACCGGCGGCAGTTCCGCCACTCCACGTGGGGCCCGGGCGGCCGGGTCCCCCAGGGCCGACGGGCCGTGACAACAGTCATGATTGTCACCCCCTGATGGCGGCCCTGCGTAGAGTATCAGTATGTGAATGCGGGAGTGGTTTTATGTGGAGTGCCAGTGTGTGTGAATGTGGGAGTGGTTTATGTGGAGTGTCATTGTGGTCAGTGTGTGTGAATATGGGAGTTGTTTTATTTGGAGTGTCAGCATGTAAATGTGAGGTGGTTTTACTTGGAGTGTCAGCGTGTGAATGTCCAGGTGTTATTCTGTAGAATCTCAGTAAAAGTGCGTGCAGATTGAGTGTGCTATTTTTATTTTTATTGTGTGTGTGGGAATGTATTTTTTAATTTTAGCCCCTAAATTTGCATTGATTCTACTTTATGATTATCTCCTCTTTGCCTCTTTTTCATACTTTCTTTTTGTTTTATTTTTCCCTTATCCTCTCTTGTCCTTGCCAACCAAGCCTCCTCCCCAATGTTTAATTCCTATATCCTAATATTCTAGCTTTAGTACTGTGTAGCGTGGTAGAGCTGTGCAGAATATACTGCTTTCCCTGCTGGGTATGTCCTTTTGCCCAGCATTAACACTAGAAAGCTGTCTAATAGCCACGCCATGTGGAACACAAGGAGCACTGATATGATGTGTATCGTGTCCCCACCTCACCCACATGGCTTCTAGTATGAACCGTAGCAGAGTAAGGGGTTGCATCACTGTCACATTACATGGTAAGGAGAGGGGAGAGAATGAGAAAAATCATGCTGGCATGCCGGATGAGGAGTCCTTTGAACTCGCCATCTGGACTATAAATAACACGGGTTGGTCCACAATTGTCTTGGGTCCTCAGTCCTGGATAAAAGGCCAGAGTGCTCAGTTCTAAAGCTGGGGCAACCTGGATACCCACCTTGGTTTGTTGATGTACAATATATCTCTTCATCCACTCTAGTTATGCTTTTATGCATCTTCTGTAACATTTTCAGTCCTACCAAATTGGTGTAGGGGGTGGAATGGCAGTTAATAAACAACAAGACTACTTACTGTGGGCGCCTAGCAACATAACTACCACGGTCCACTGTAATGGGTATGACGCTTGCAGGGTTCCTCTTCAGGAAGTTTTTATGGAAATGCTAAGCTGCAAAATTACTTCATCTTAATGCCACTATTTGACTTCCAGTGTCGGCATGCTGAGTGTTCTTTTTTGGATTGCAGCGACTGCCACACATGCTCCATGTGTCTACTTTTCCTTATGTATAGCAGTCGAGTTGACTGACTAGCACAGTTCTTTTCCAGTTGCCAAATTTACCCACAATCCATTCAGTAAAATAAATCCTACAGAAGGACAAACTGCATTGACCTTGAATCATGAAGATACAGGTAGCAGAAGGAAAGGGGGGCATGATTGTACCCCTTTAATTGGAGTGTTCATTGTGTAGACTGCATAACTATGCATCCAGTTACAAGTTCTACTTTGGAAACAAGAGCATAAACAAGTCCTTTTGCTGACAGAGCTGTCTGGATGACCCTTCAGTGGCCCGAACCTACTGTGCAATCCATTATGTATGAAAGCACGGAGTAGATTGAATGAAGGATCAGATTAAGTGCTGGTAAAGATGACATTGTCAAAGTGGAGAAATTAGAATTAATTTGAGGAATCACGGGCTTAGATCAACACCTTTTCTAGCACTCTATTGCATTTTAAGGGAACTTCAGAAGGAATGTACCACTCCTAGTTTAATGCATTAGATTGTATAATATAAGTAACGCATAAAATGATGCATTCAAGTTAAAAGATTCTTCTACCTTTTTTTCTTTCCTTTTTTTTCCTGGAACTTAACCCACCTCCCATGCAGCCCACTTCAAACAGGAAATAGCTGAGATATTTGAGCAAAACCACTCTCACATTTATTCCTGTGAGGGATTTCTGAATACGAGTCAATGTATGCCTGGTATCATGTCCACTCAAACAAGTGCGTGCAAAAGTCATTTTTATTCAAGTTTTATAGGCATGGATTGCTACTTGTCTTTGCACTGTGAATGCATTAACAGTAGTGATGACCCTCCCACCTCCTGGACAGCTCACTAAGAATGCAGCTTCAAAATGGATGCTGTCCAGGAGGTGGGAGAGTCTGGGAGGGAGGGTCTGCTGCTGATTGGCTGGAATGTGTCTGCTGACTGTGAGGTACAGGGTCAAAGTTTACTCAATGATGAGTCCGTGGCAAACCGTTCGTGGCGAACCGTTCGGCGAACCGTTCGGGACATCACTAATTAACAGTACAAAAACTGTGCTTTAGGCTTATAGAAAAACTACAGTGTTAGGAATACAAAACTGTATTACTAACATTATATTGTCCTCAGGGGTAAATAAAAGGTTAAAAACCCTTTATTCACTAACCCGTTTTCAGCATTGATGTCCCTCAGCACTGAGTCGTGCTCCTCGTCAGCTCAAGGGGAAGGAGCCTAACGTGTATTGGCCTTCCCGATAGGAAAGCAGTGCTTCAATGCTTTTTTTTACATGCCGGACTTCCTCATGCAAAGCTTGAGGACATCAAATTCTATGAAACACCAGGAAGTGCCTCTAGTGACTGTAAGGTAAATAGCCATTAGATGCAATCTAAAAGCGATTCTATAGTGTTAGGAATGCAAAGTTGTATCACACTATAGTGCCCTCTGATTCCCTCCCTCACTTCTGGCAGTTTAAGGGGGGGAAAAAACCCTTTATTTACTCACACGATTCCAACGCCGATCTCACTTGGTGCAGGGTAGACGCTCTGTCTCCTCCGATCTCATCCAAAGGGGGGGCTAATGTGCATGAGCCTCAATGCATTCCTATGGAGATTTAACTAATGCTGGATGTCCTAATGCAGAGCGTGAGAACATTCAGCGTCATTTAGGCGTCCTGGAGTCTGTTACCATCCAGGATGTGTCTCTAGTGGATGTCTGATTGACAGCCACTAGAGGCAGTCTAATTCCTGCAAGACAATCATTGCTGTTCCTCAAAAACTGCAATGATTTACATTGGAGGACTAAGTGGGACAGGGACACTGCGCTGAAGTGGTCTGGGTGACTATAGTGTCCCTTTAACCCTTTCATGTGAACATTGCAGTTTATTAAAAATTGCCATTTTTTTACATTGTAGGGTTAAGAGAACAGGGACACTGCACCCAGACCACTTCAATGAGATGACATTTCCACATTTCCTCCAGAAATTGAGAGAATAAAAATGTATGTAGTTGGACTTATATATTTATTTATTTATTTTGCCAGCAAAAAAGCACTTTATTCAAAATGGAAAAAAAAAGGCATTGTGCACATGCAATGTTTTGGGAATCCAGCCAGAATGCAGAAGATTACTCACCACCTAGAGAGACAGAGAAAAGATACGTCAATCATTCATTTAGGACACACATCTGACTAGTTCAACACAATCTCGAAATTCAATTGTGAGAAAGAGCTTCGTCTAGGCTGTGAATTAGAAATAGCAGAAATGTTCCCAAATAATAATTGTAGATTCTTAGTCACAAAGGATTCAAACAGCATTTCTACCAAGATGGTAATTAAATTATTTTATTGGACACTCAAATATCACTCCCTTTAATCTTGTCAATTTGACGTCTGTAATGATTTTAAGAAATTAACACTTCAACGTCTGATGAGTGTCTACAATGCTTCAAATATTCAGTATTAAGACACCTTATATTTTATCTTGCAACCTTATGCTACAATTGTTTAAATACATGTTTTCCATATCAGTATAGACTCAACACCCCATAATGACAAAGCAAAACAAACAGATCTTTAGAAACTTTGCAAATGTATTAAAGGGACACTATAGTCACCAGAACTGCTACAGCTTAATGTAGTAGTACTGGTGTCTATAGCCTGCAGGCTTTTCAATGTAAACATTGCCTTTTCAGTGCTTACATTATATCCAGCGGCAGTCAATCAGACGGCCACCTAAGGTGCTTCCTGTGGCAGTGCTGCACAATGATCTGCATGGAGGCGCTGAATGTTTCCCTTAGAGATGCATTGATCAATGAATCTCTATGAGGAGATGGGGATTGGCGCAGTGTGGAGTTTTGCCACGCATGATCATTAGCCTCCCAAAGCTTTCATATGGAAAGTATTGGATTGGCTGAGATCATTAAGATTGATGATTTCAGCCATGGAGTTGGGGTCAGCTGTGAGACAGGGGCCAGCAACTCCTCTTTCCCAAGCAATTGGAGGGTGGCTGGGGACGTAAATAGTTCATTCTAAACTACTGTGTCAAGAATACATGTTTGTACTCCTGAACCTATATTGTTCCTTTAAAAATAAAAAATAAACTGACATATCCCATTGACATAAGTATTCAGACTTTTGCTATGACGCATTTCTCTGGATCATCTTTCAGATGTTTCTACACTTTGATTGGAGTCCACCTGTGGTGAATTCAGCTGTGAGACAGGGGCCAGCAACTCACCTTTCCCAAGCAATTGGAGGATGGCTGGGGATGTAAATAGTTCATTCTAAACTACTGTGTCAAGAATACATGTTTGTACTCCTGAACCTATAGTGTTCCTTTAAAAATAAAAAATAAACTGACATATCCCATTGACATAAGTATTCAGACTTTTGCTATGACGCATTTCTCTGGATCATCTTTCAGATGTTTCTACACTTTTATTGGAGTCCACCTGTGGTGAATTCAATTGCTTGGACATGATTTGGTGATTTGGAAAGGCACACACCTGTGAAGATTAGGTGTCACAGCTGTAAATGCATAAACCAAACTATGAGGTCAAAGGAACTACCTGCAGGGACCGCAAACAGGATTGCATCCAGGCACAGATCTGGGGAAGGCGACCGCATTCCAATACAGATAAAACACAGCCATTAAGAATAGTTTACCAAGTAACATATTATACAAAATGAAAAACCACCTTAATAAGGTTAGATATGTTCAGGGCCCCAATTCATGGTTGCAGGAGCTCTATAGTAAAACTATGTACACCTGACAATGAGAGAGAACTTTAAAGAACTTCAAGTAACTTAATAAAGAACTTAAAGGTATAATCCCCTAAAAAGTATAATATTATGTGATGGTGAGTAGGTCGGGCAAATTGACCAAGGGAACTCTGATAAGCTCACTATACAAAGTTGATTGGGAAGAATTGTAACGGAAATATGCCCTATATCGCAGAACTTAGAATAACAAATACAGACTAATAGAAAAGACATATGTGGCAAAACTAGCCACTTACTGAATGTAATTGTATATTTTCTGCTATTTCCCGTATCATCTGTTTCCCGATTACAAGATCCATGTATTAAGCATTCGTGTGTTACAGCACACGAATACCGCTAGCATTCAGCTTGGTTATCCACGAACAGTGAATCTCCGAACTGTTCGTGGAACAAGCAAAGTACCGAATGAGAGACCACCCCCAGCAGGTGGTCGTGTGTCTCCAATTAGGTACTTTGCAACATTGTATCCATGCCCAATTAATGTATGTTGTGGGTGGCCGCCGTTCGTGTACCGAACACGTGGCGGCGGCCATCTTTGTTCTCGGAGACCCAGCGGGGTTTTGTCGTTGAGTGCCTGGAACTAAATTCGGCTACTCTGCAACACAAGCCCAGCTGGACTTCCAAGCCGTTCGGGAGTTTTATTCTTTCGGGAATCTCATTCCCGCAGTTAGTACAACTGTTTTAAGCCGAGTGGTCCTGATCATGTAAAATTCGGTTATTTGTGCTGGGATCTGAGCGCAAGTTCCCTCAATAATGCGCTCAGGTTCCAGCTATGTAATAAGGGGTTTATTAGCTGCATAGCAGGAATATTATGTCAGTTATAGATTTTTATGTATAAACTGTATTTTTCTGTACCAGGAGATAATCCCATTAACAATGCATTCTGGGGTAATTATCTATCTAGTACAGCAGTGTATGATGGGTAATCAGCCAGTAAGCTCAGTCTCCCATGTAGTTCACTACTGGACAACCCCTGTAATGTGACTTGGGAAACCCCTTACATTTGTAACCGCATAAATACAGTTGACCTCCAAGCTATGTGTTGTCTAGTTCTTGGGAGAAAGGGATTGTAACTATGCTACCTGCATTTTGCCTACTTTTTACCTGCTTCACTCTGTCTACCAGCAGAGATAACGTGGATAATACTACTGCTCCGCTACAACATATTACTGACCTTAGAGAGGGCCGGGCTTAATGTACAAAAGAGAGAAATCGTACTCATATATAAAAGCCAAGGTTTGGGTTAGTGTAACGGAGAGACAGAGTAAAACAACTAGCCTGGTTCAAGAAAACCAAATATCAGAAAAAAGTGTGGACTAGCCGGGTAAGTGTTACAGAAATACTGTCATGAACATTCCATGGTCAATACCAGAAATTAGAGACAGGAATAAGGAAAGAACTAAACGTGTACTGGAAGCAGAAACCACAACAGGGCACAGTAAATGGGGCCAAAGAACTTTAAATAGTGTTAGGAGTGATTTAATTGGTCCACGTCATGACTGTTACCCCAAATTGTCTGTGAATGGGGAAGGCGCAGCAACTAGGACCATGTTGAATCCAAAGTGGCACAGCATCCCCTCTGTGTCTTTAAGAATGTAAGCAGCATTCACCTTACTGGAAGGTGGGGCCCGCGCTTACCTAATTGACATGCACAGCCCACAGGAATATTAGATCACCGTGCCGACCAGGTAAGTAGCGCCATAAGGAGCAGAATGGAAAATAGAAGACTTGAAGGATGGATGGCTTGAAAGAAAAAAGGGAATACAAAAGCAAGAGAAAATAATATGTAAAAACAGGGGAAAGGAAGGAAGAAGGGACACAAGGAAAAGGTAAGAGCAGGTACATGCAATCGCAATCTGATTTCTTAGATAAATCTGAAAATTGGTATTGCAGATATATATTTAAACTGTTGAGGGCAACTTATTTATAACTTAGCTTATATTAAAAAAAATAACATGCCTCCCAATGGTCCCGATTTTTTTAGATCCTGTCCCAACATTCTGACTTAGTGGTGCCCTGCTTTTGGGGACACCGGAGAATTGTCTCCTACAATCATAGTGCAAGCACATCATTAGACGCACTCACACTAAGTTCAGGGCACAGGGTCCTAGAACTAGTTCTGCCCTTAGTGGGCTGGCCTTCAAAGATAGGCAGGCAGCCTTGTGTTCATTCATACCTGGTTGAATTGCCAGAAAAGAGGTGAACTCAAAACTGCATCACTGTCCCACCCCATTAACTCCCCACCCACTGGCATCCCAATTCTTTGGATGCCGGAGATTGGAAGTATGGATTAACAAAGAAAAAAGAAGTAAGGACTCCAGAACCAAGGAGGGTTAAAATTGCAACCACGGGTATGGCCCTTTAAGAGCCATGGAAAATACCTGCTGCGAAACATAAACAAAAAATGCAATTAAAAATTTGTTTTTAAAAAGGAAAAAGGTGCATGGCCTCCATCTAACACGAGGAAAATCATATATGATCCGAAACATAAACATGGTGCTCCCCCATACACCTCCCTGTCCCTGCAGTTAATTCCAAGTCTCTCTGGGCCCTTCCAAAGCAAGTCCACCTGCCCAAATGTCATCAGGTAAGCAGGGGCGGAGCCCAGGCACCCCCTCGAGAACCAGTGCAACACCAGTCACCAACATTCTCCACTGCACTTGAGTGCAAGTCCAGAGCCCTCACCAACCCCCTTCACCTGTATGCTGGCCTCTTAGCAGCCCTGGACAAGTACCACTTTCCAACCACCAGTCCATTAGATGTCCTGGACAACCTAAAGTTGGGACCTGCAGGCCCCTCCCAAGTCAAGATTGTAAGGGTGGCATGGGTCACAGCATGGGGTGCAGAAGGAAAACAGAGGAAGGGCACCAGTCAATTTTGAGGAAGCTGTGCACTGTTGGAAATTAGTCCAATAACATCAAAATCAAGATAAGAAACCATATTAGACAGGGGGACGGTACCATGGCCAACAGTATTAGAGACTTATATATAGGTTAGCATGTATCGTGTACCAGGTTCTGCCACTTTTTCTCAAGTGGATTTTGTATAGCAGGATCTGGCTTAAAGGGCAAGTGCATGAGCCCTTTCACCGGGGAATGGATACTCCTGGCATCATAACCAACGTAGCAAGCTGTAGTCATTGTGATTCCTGGAGTAACTAATGAAAACTAGGTCCAGAGAGCTCAAGGATCTCAGACTGGGCTGAATGACCATAAGCATAAAGGCAAAATATAGCAAGAGTGGCTTGGAGACAACTCTGCGAATTCATTGAGTGGCCCAGCTAGAGCCCTGAGTTGAATCCAAATGAACATTTATGCAGAGACCTGATAACAAATAGTCTCCATCCAACTTGACAGAGGCTTAAAGGATCTGCAGAGATAATGGCAAAAACTACTGAAATCCAGGTGTGTAAAACTTGTTGAATCGTGTCCAAAACGACTCGAGGCTGTAATCATTGATAAAGATAGAGGAGATGTCTGTTTAACAACACTCATGGTGCAGTTAAAGATACATTTTGCACATTTTACGCTCATACGTGGGCTCTAAAGCAGTCTGTCCTTCTGGCATACATATGTGACAGAATGATGTGTGGGCAAGAACGTTGTCCATAACACAGATTGCATCGTGGACACACTAAATATCAAACAAGCCAAAGTTGACATGTCAGGCAGTGGAGACGTGCACACCATGTGCACTATGTACAAGTATTAGGAGAAAGTGTGCGCTTCCTACTCTGATGAAAAGGATTTATAATTTTGTTTCCCTAAAGATATAAGCAACTGTGAGCAGGGTGACATAAAGACCATCCATGCTCCACAAATGTGAAAACCGTAGGTTGTTATGGTGTTTGGAGTGCCTTTTTAAGCCATGATGATATGGTAATTACAGCCACGTTGTTCAATACGCAATGTCCGATAACTGTGTTACGCACCCCTTCAGCGCTCACAGGGTGCTTTCCAAAAGCTTGCTGAAAAAAAACCTATATGCAAGACGGCAAAATAGGAACTGTCAACAGAAACATTCCATCGGTTTCTATGGTGACTGCTCAAGATGTGACATGTTACCCCGCCAGAATTGCTCCAGTTTTACCATGTTACGTATGGTTGGTTATATCCCTGCTGTCTTTACCATGCTCGCAGCAAGTAAAGCATTACTGGTGGGCTTCTTAGTACACGCATCATGATGTGTGTATACTGTGTCTGGAAAATTCAACAGCACAGAAAAAAAAGCTACATGGGAGCAAGCGGAGACTGTACGGACTGAGTGGTTCGAGCTATCTTTGGTTGAAAATAGAAGCTGTGTTACTAGGGAGACAATCCAGCAGTTTTTTCTTCAAAGGCTGGATTGGAGAAAGCTATCCCTCCCCTTACAGAGCCCTAGATCCTTCCATTGTCAGCACTGTAGTCATCATCGTCCCCCCCTCTCTCCACCCAATCCTCACCACCTCCAGGCAAGCTCATCTGTTGTACACAGGTAACCATGAAAGCTGGGCGCATAGCAACAGGATGACTGTCAACACACGCTAGCCATTCCCTGGATACTTGCTTCTGCAAATTCCCGGCCCACGTAACGACAATGGAGCAAACAGCCATAGTACCGACTGGGTTGAGGGTGGTGTTAATACGGCAAGCAGCAGGTTAGAGGATTAATATTTTACTTTCTTTCCGCTAAATGAACCTCAAACCATGTCTGTTCAACAATGTTTAACTGCAAAATGCCAATTCTGTCTTCAAAAGCCCAATGCCAAGAATAACTGTAGCACTGACTGCAAAGGATGGCTTATTTGCTATTAAATCTATATAACATATGTTGTAAAATTCAGAAGCCACCTTGTGTTACCGGAACACAGCTTCCGTCATCCTCAGCCAGCTCGTATAACTGACAGGCAGCCCTTGAGTCACCGCCCAAATCTGTCACGTCGACTGAATCACACCTGGTGAGAAGAACCATAATGTCAAAGTGCACCATGTCCAAAGCACCATTATTGTTTTTTTGGTTAACACTTTGTAGAAGCCATTATGCTCATTCACTGGCAAAAATCTGAAGATTTGGAAAGACTGAGATTCCTTATTTGAGCTTTCAAATCAAATCTATACAGTTGGCAGCTAGTGTATATGGTTACATGGGTTGTATTACCACAGCAACTGAACAGCCCCACCGTGACCTAAATGTGTATTGTCAAAATCTTTAATGACGAAGCCATAGATCACTTGACCTAAGCGCTGCGTGGGGGAGGGTTGCTAAATAAATGCTATCATTCAACAAAACCTTTCGGTTGTTCACAAAGACTCGAAGACATACACAAATCATTGAGGGATGCATCCTGTCCCACTGGCAGTCGCATTGGGCGTACCTTAGGAAGGGGCGCCGCCAGGAGCGCCGGCCCCCCTCATGCTGCAGCCGCCTGTGGAGAGTACACTATGCGAGGCGGGGGAGGAGAGTAGAGACCACTGAGGGGGGGGGATAGATCACTAACGGGGTGGGGGAGTAGAGTAGAAACCACTAAGAGACAGGGGAGAGATCTATGGATGTGGGGGGGTAGGAAAGAGCACTAAGGGATGGGGGGAGCACCAAGGGACCGGGGGGTGTAGGAGAGAGCACTAAGAGACAGGAGGAGAGAACACTACAGGAAAGGGGGCGGGGAGTTTACTAAGGGGCAGTGGGGCAGAGGAGAGCTCTAAGGGATAGGAAGGGAGAGCAGTAAGGAACAAGAGGAGAGAGAGGCTGAGGAAGGGGGAAAGAGAAGCACAAAGGGGCTGATAGGAATCAGCCCCTATTCTACCCCACAAACTCTCTCTTTCATACTACACACACAATGCTTTCCTATACATACACAGAAACACACAATGCACCCCTACACACACAGAAACATACCATGCTTCCCTTACACACAGAGAAACATACAATGCATCTATTACGCACAAAGACAATGCATGCCTTGCACACATACACAGAAACACACAATGCATCCCTTACACACACACACACAAACACACACTGCTTCTCTTACACAAACAGAGAAACACAATGCATCTCTTACAGACACACACACTGCATCCCTTACATACACAGAAACACACCTTGCATCCCTTACACATACAAACACAGATTCACACAATGCATCCCTTAAACATAACCAGAAACACACAATACATCCTTTACACACAAACACACACTGCTTTCTATCCCTTGCACAAAAACACACTGCATCCACTACACACACACACTGCATCACCTACACAAACTGGTATCACTATACACTACATTCCAAAAGCACACACTTTAGATCCTCTACAATAACACATAACACATCCCCTACACACTCCACTCCCTGTGAGCGAACTCATGGGTGGAACATGTAGGTCATAGGCGTGCGCACGGGGTGTGCCGGGTGTGCTTGGGCACACCCTAATCTCCGCGGTACGCCTATGTATTGAGACCGGCAGGGGAGATCTCGGGATCTCCCCTGTCGGCTCATGTAGAGCCGGCGCTATCTGAGTGCCGGCTCTGCTCTCAGCCTCCCTCCCCACTGCAGCATGGAAGGAGGGAGGCAGGAGAGGACCCGGGGAGCTCAACCAGCAGCTCCACCGGGTTCCTCTCGTGAGATTTAAGCATTGCCGCGGCAACGCTCAGATCTCGCAAGAGTGAACTCTAGCCATACAGGGGCTAGAGTTCACTCTCCACTGGACGACCAGGGATGGTAGCAGCACGATCCCCCTCCCTACATAAGGTAGGAAGGAAGGGGGGTTATTAGGTAATCCACCTCCACCCCCACAATCACCCACACACATACAGCACACACATACAGCACACACACCCACACACACAGCACCTAAACACATACAGACACACAGCACACACACATACAGCACACACACACATACAGCACACACACAAACACACACAGCACCTATACACATACAGACACACAGCACACACACAGCACCTACACACATAAAGCACCCACAGACATACACAGCACCTACACACATACAGCACCCACAGACATACACAGCACCTACACACATACACAGCACCCACACACATACAGCACATACATACAGCACCCACACACATCTGCACACACATACAGCACCTTCACACATACAGCACACACATACAGCACCCGCACACACATACAGCACCCACACACATACAACACCCACACACATACAGCACACACACATACAGCATACACACAGCACCTTCACACATACAGCCCCCCCACACACACAGCACCCTCACACACATACATCACCCTCACGTACATACAGCAACTACACACATACAGCACCCTCTCACACACAGCACATAAACAGCACCCTTACAAACACACACACAGCACCTTCACACGCACAGCACACTAACAGGACCCTAACAAATACACACACACACACACACACACACAAACATCCTCACAAACACACAGCACACAAACAGCACCCTCACACACACATTCCACTAACAGCACCCTCACACACAGCACCCTTACACACACACACACAGCACCCTTACACACACAACACCCTCATGCAGCACACACACACACACACAGCAGTGTATGTGTGTGTGTGTGTATATATATAGCTATATATATATATACACACACACATACATATATACATGCGGCGTGTGTTTGTGCTTTAGAGTGCACACCCTAATGCAATAGGCTGCGCACGCCTATGATGTAGGTGGACTTATGGGTGGGCCTTATGGGCATACTCACCGTCAGGCCCTGGGGCCCAGACCTTGAGCTGTGTAAGGGGCCCCAAAAAATGGAGCTGCTTCACGTTCCCCTAGAACATTGACTTTTGTGACCACAGTTACAAACAGCCTCCAGAGAGCCTATTCTACACCAGACCAGTGGAGCCAAACTGCAGCCAGAGCCCATCACCATCCTCATCTGGTTGTAAGTAGGCAATCTAGTATATTATTTGTGGCACCAATCTCTAATTTACCTCACATTAAAGGGCCACTTTAGTCCCCAGAACCACTGCAGCTTAATGAAGTGGTTCTGGTGTCTATAGCCTGTCCCTGCAGGCTTTTTAATGCAGCACTGACATTAGTTCATATGGTAGATCATATGGGTGGGGCATTGTGATGTCACATGGGGGGGGGGCACATTTTTATTTTGCCTAGGGCGGCAAAAATCCTTGCACCGGCCCTGTTTGGATACCGCTACTCTAGATAATATATCTAGTGAGCAAAACCATTTTGACTTCTGTTTCTATTTCTGGCCCCTTGATACAGCGCTGCCACTTTGTAAATAAATTATAACAATAAATAATACATGTTCCATGATGTCATCCACTTCCTTTAATGGGAACGTATTATAATAACCTCTTGTCTGCATTGGTATCGAGGGTTGTGATGTACTTGCTATTAAATAAAAGATTCCAGAGATTCTAGACAAAGATAAATAAGGTTTGTAGATATCAATTTATCATAAAATTCCATAGATACATATCTTGTACGGCAGGGGTGCCCAATAGGTAGATACCCAGATGTTGTAGAATTACAAATTCCATGATGCTTTGCATGCTTTTAGTATGACAATGCATCATGGAAACTGTAGTTTTAAAACATCTAGGGATCTACCTTTTGGGCACCCCTGTTCTACAGTCTGCAAATAGCAAAGATTTTAGTTAACAATGCCAGGAGCAGTGGCTGAACTACTCCAGGGGGCCAGCCACACCGCAGACCCCTGCGACCACGAGTCCCGCCAGCTGAGTAATGCGGCCCCAGCCCGCGCGGTGTAACAGCAGCGGCTGCATTGAAGGAGCCCATCGGGTGGCCAATTGCTGTTAGGGCCACTTGATGCTATGTAATTCCAGGGGGCACGGTCAGTGCTTTAACAACGTGACCGGGTCCCCTCCGATGATGTCAGAGGCTGGGGGGAAGTGACTGCCCCAGTCACTTCCTCCCAGCAACCACTGGGAGATGCGCGGGAGGAAGGAGAGGGAGTCAGAGTGGAAACTCTGACTCCCATCAGCCTGAGCCACCACTGGACCCCAGGGAAAGGCATGTGTGTCTGTATGTGAGTGTGTGTATGTCTGTCTGTGTCTGTCTGTCTGTGTGTCTGTATGTGAGTGTGTATGTGTGTGTGTATGTCTGTCTGTATGTGTGTGCATGTCTGTCTGTGTGTCTGCCTGTGTGTGTGTGTCTGTGTGTCTATGTGTCTGTGTATATGTGTGTGTATGTTTGTCTGTGTGTGTGTGTGTGTGTGTGTGTGTTTGTATGTCTGTCTGTGGGTGTGTGTATGTCTGTATGTATGTGTTTCTGTGTATGTTTGTGTTTGATGTATGTGTCTCTCTGTGTGTGTGTATATGTGTATGTGTGTGTATATGTGTGTGTATGTCTATATGTGTATCTGTTTGATTGTGTGGGGGGAGGCGATAACGTATGGGAGGGGAACGATAGACATGTGGGAGGAGGGTGGTGGGGGGAGGTTGACGTACGGGGGGCGTGGGGAGACCAGAGCAATATTCACACCGGGCCCCTGTGGTTTCTAGTTACGCCTCTGGTCAGGAGATATACCCTATGCTCTGCTGCTGCAAAGCAAATGAAAATTCTCTTATTGCAATTATGTAAATATCTCATAGCTGATTGTTCTTCCTTCATTAAGTTATTTGCAACATCCAGTAAATGTTATTTTTACCTGGACACAGTTGATAGAAGTTGTCTTACAGACATCCATAATGTCTAAGCATATTTATGATTCAGAAGCCATTTTAATATTTTATCATAAAATTTACCTACCATGTATGTTTGAAACATCTAAATTGCAAGTAGAAATTATATTATCACCAGCTCCCCAAAATTTGGTAAGTTTTTTTTTTCCACTTGTTTTTATTTTGATAAAGCCTTTTTTGTTTCACATTTATTTTGGTACATAAAGAAATTTCTCCCGAGTTTGTTAACACCAGGTGAAATGGCATCTGGCGATTCTGAGGTTAAGATGCACCTTCACAAAATAGCTGCAGATATTATCACTCAGTGTCACTATCATAGTCTTCTGAATGATTACATGTCATAGTATCATAAAACCCAAATGCAAAGACCTCATTGCTGGTGCTAGGAAGCAGAGAAAACTCATCTATCAAATGTGTAATGTACATTCTCAACAGGGATTTAAGATTCCCCTATCTGCTGATGCTGGCATATAAAAATAAAAAATTAACTGGTTGGGTGCTTCTTGATGTAGTTCGTATATCCCGAGGGCTATTGTTATCAAGGTCTCAGCATTTAGT